CATAATAACGCCCCCACGGCTGAAAGGGCGAGCATGTTTGGTGTGACGGGGATTCGAACCCGCGACCCACAGATTGGGAGTCGAGTGCCCTAACCACCTGGCTATGCCGGGCCATGAATCGTCTTAATCAATGGACATTTCACTTTGTAGTTAAATTATGCAGTATTAACAGCGATGGTCCAGATTTCTTCTTCATTTAGTTTAGAGAATTGTTGATTTTTATGGAAACCAAATCTACTGCACTTATCGGAAATATTCAACCGGTATTCTTTCAGACTATGTTCTTCATTAGCTACAGCTTTGTCGTTGCTGCTGCACGAAACAGGAGTGATACCTGGCCGTAGTTATCATCTCACCAAGAATAAGTAAGTCCTGTGAATAAATCTGTAAACTAAAACAATATATATTGTAAAAGTATAGTTTCTAATTTTAAAAAAAAATATGGTATATATTTAATAAATTACTAAGAAATATTTAAAGTAATTCAATATATACTTAATAATATCATTAATATTTAATTTATCTTGCTAGTTACTTCAGTAACTGCATATTTAACAAATGTTTCTGAATTATAGTTGTTATTATTGCTCTACAAAAATCGTCTACAACTGTCTTCTTTAGATCGATTTAAAATGCAGCATTTGCCCGTTGTCATGGTTAATAGTCTATACGTACACTTAACTCCAGTTATTAATTAGTAACTACTTTTTATTACTAGATATTAATTCCTAACTAGTTATATCCTAATTAAGTCTTCTAATCTGTTGCTGTTTTTTGTGAAGTCCTTTGAAGGGCTATTTCAATGTTGACTGTTTCTAGGATTCAGTTTTGTGTCTTCTTATTTATGTGCAGAATTTACTGTGATTTTTTTTTTGTTGTTGTTTAGCAAACTCAAGTTCTGTTTCAGAATTTTTAAAAATGTTTAGAATCTTAGATACTTTAATTCGCAATTATTTTATTCACGGAAAATGTATATGATTTTTCAACCTTCCCGGCATCTAATAGAAAAAAAATACCAGTCAAAGATCTCTAATTTAGAACTGCAGACCAGAGTGTTGACAGCCAGTCAACGGCAGTTGCCGTTTACGCGTGTAAAAAAATTGCACCGTTTCTTCCCAAAAGATTCTAAAGAAATGCTTGAACTTCTTAATTAGTCTTAATAAATTTTTTTTCACTTTATATTACTATTGCAATTTTTATCAGTGTCATAATTGTCGGTGTCGTTTTAGTATTATTAATGGTAACATTATTAATTGGCTGACGGACACCCTTCTCACAAACAGATGTGGCCATACAATTTTACTCACCAAAAGAGTACCTCCGATGAACAAAAACATAAAAACTGTTCAGTTGATTATAATGTATTAAACTATCTTCAGTTTTGTCACATACACAGACAAAAGAAATAATTTACAAATATCTGAACTTACGATTCTTATCGATTTAATATCTTTCAACTTATTTTATTTCTATTATTGCAACAAGTTTTTGTTTGAAGGGTTTTTAATTAAAACTTATCTCGTGAACTTATAACAATCAAAAACATGAATTAATATAATCAGTAACTTTAAATATTGCTGCCTGACTTAATTTTCTCCAATTATCCGGCGCCAATTAAAATAGTGATAAAAATGATACAAAAATATTTCAAAACATTAACGCAATTGATTACATTGGCTGGGAAACTTGATGAGTGACGCTATGGGCTTCCGGAACAGCTATTTACTTGAAAATATGCCGTGGACTTCCGAAGTACATATGGTTGAGTACTTTAAATTAAAACGATCTTGGCTACGCAAATCACCAGGTCACGTGACAGACACAACCAATATAAAGTCGCGGTGAAACTGCGTGCATCACAACCACATTTGACATCGCTGGAGATATCACAGGCAGTGCGATACTACCAAACACTGATCACTTTTTAACACAATTTATTCTTGTATTCAAATTATAAAGATGTGTTTAGATAAGGGATTTAGATTTTCCGAGACGGGTATTTTCCTTGTACTTAACGGCATTGAAAAACAAAGGAATGGGGATCAACTTGGAACATCAGGACTATACAGAAAAAGACTTGCAATAAGTCGTTTCCCATCCGTGATAAGCGTCTTGTAACAGGTGAGAATCCACAAGCACAAAGTTAGTGGTATAGCTCGTCCACGTGCCCCGGGAAACAGTACGCAACATAATTAAGAAATTTCGGACTGGAAACGAGGCCAACAGTGTGTTCATGCTAGTCCATACGATGAGATAGATACCAGTCAAGTTGACGGACATACGACCTACAGATTTCTGTACGATCGGACTGTTGAAATTGGTGCTGCAGAACTGTCATCCTCGTCCACTAGATAGATTATGGAAAGCCCGCAGATAGCAGTGGTGCTTTTTGACATCAAAGCTTCATGATGGAGCCTTTTGCAATGCAAACTACGCTGCAGGGCTACTGTTAAGATGCACATTTGTTAGCTAAAGCATAAACAGACGTGGTGATTTGGACTGTAAGGATCTAGAAGGCTCCAAAATCCTTTACTCCCCAGTGGCACAGCGTTAAGTCTGCGGACTTACAACGCTAGAAACCGTGTTTCGATACACGTGGTGGACAGAGCACAAATAGCCCATTGTGTACCTTTGTGCTTAATTACAAAGAAACAAACCAAAATCACTATAATTTAACGTATATAACCCTCTTAAATTTCTCAGTATTTCTTGAAAATTAGTTACCGTTTTTTAATACTTTCAGTAAATATAGAACGTTAACTTCTGCTCTGCATCCTAAACAACAACAAGCTTTTGTATCTTATTTCTAATTAGCGGATACACGTTGCGAAAGTTGATTCAAGTTCTGACCAGAATCCCCTGGATTCCACTACCTTACCGTGACAGTACATTTGCTGTTGTGACGTCCCACAGTAGATTGTCTAGCCAAGAATGGGAAACTTTAAGAGAGGCCCCGGTAAGTACTTAGGCATTGTGTGTTGTTTTTCTTTCCATTGATATTAATTTTCAATATTTGAATATGTTACATATGTTTTCAATTGATAACACTAAGGACTTCCAATATCCTTGAAACCCCGTTTTTTATTAATTTTTAATTAGCAAAGGTTGGGGTATTTTCAATATTCTTAGGTCCATTCTTGTGGACGGTGGGGTACGTTAGTAAAAGGTTGCAAACCACCATGATATTTCTAAATTCTTCCCTTATTATGATTTTTCTATCTCATGTTTGTGATTACCTAACTGTCTCTTTTTCATTTGTTGCAATAATTGGTTGGAATTTCATTAACTTCCAAGAACGTATGGAAGTGATTTTGTTGTAACGGTGTACATTTCGAACAGTTGTAAAGGCAGGACTTTGAAAAATTATGGTGATATGCAACTTTACCTCGTCTTGTATGTTCCACATAGTTCTTAAAGTAAATGTCAAGTGTAATTTCAATATTTTCTTTTATAAGCTGTAGGTATTTCATTTCTTACTTGTTTATATACTGTGGTCGTACAACATGACTTAATACTATATATAATTTAATTATTAAATTTTTCTCACGTATAAGTGAGTCGACATAAAAAAACATTTTATATGTGCAGTATTTTATCTAACAGTGGTGTAGGCAAGATTTGCAATGTGGAGGTGCTTGGTCAGACATCCATATTATACAATGAAAGTATAAGGAACTGCTAAAAGCAGCTCCATCTCGGGGGGCATGTCCCCCCCAGAAAGTTAATATTATAATATAATTTACAATTGCTATATCAGTAAAAATATGTAAAAGTGGGGTGCTACAGCACCCCCGGTTCTGACCCCTCTGCCTAGAAATGACTTTCTTACTTTCTGCCAGATTTAATGTATGTTTACAACAACAACAACAAAAAGGAATAAGAAGAGGGGAAAAGAAGAAAAAAAGAAAAAATCCCGTGATCGACGGGGTACGCAGGAAAATATATCCATTCATAAAACTCAGTGGTTTTTGTTTTTCTTTGCGAAATTATTCTCACTATTACTGTAATAAAAGCATCTGTTTTCTTACTTGTAATTAAAACACAGTATCCTACACAAAATCATTAATAAATAGTTAGTGACGTAATGAAAGGGGAAAAAACAGTCTCCCACCAAAAACACACAAACAAAAAAAAAAAACAGAGATCGTAATATGTATATATTATTTTAATTCTTTCATAGTTAATTCGATCTGTGGTAGAATTGACCAATGCTTGCACTGGAACGATGTATCAGCTGATATTATTGGTTCAACAGGTAGGTTATTATTATTATTGATGACCTTTTCTGTTCAAGTATTTAATTTCCGTAGCGTATATTGTTGTATAAAAGACATTCTAATACTATAAATAAGCGACCTTATAACACCAAGTTTGTTATTTCTCTTTAAATGGACACTCAACGTTTCGCTTTACAGCTTCTTCAGGAGAGTTCCACTAAAACACCATAACTGACAGTACAAAGCTTGAAGTGGTTTAAATAATGGATTATAATCGAATATATAGCGTGAATTTCTACGGCGTGCAGTTGACATATTAAATGGTAATATATAGTTAACCGCATATGCAGCAAATATATCGAAATTAAAGAATAGGTTAGGCAATCGGCAAGTTCATATATATATATATATATTTCTATTTTCAGATGATGACGTTTCGAGCCAGCGCTCTTCGTCTGATCGTACAGCTTACAACAAAAGCGCATGCGCAGAATTTAAAAAATTGAACGGTGGGCGTGAAATTTATCTGCAAACTTACAACTTTTACATAACTATTACAAGTCATAAAAATGAGAGGAATAGGAAAAACGGAAAACTGATTGAAATTAAAATTGAAAAAAATATAGAAAAAATGAAAATCTGTATGAAAGAAAAGCGTTCATTTAAACCATATGGTTGTAGGATCCTTAGATTGTACATTAATCTTATTTCCAGTCGTTCTCTTTTGTGAATGTCTGTTGGAGCACTAATAAGTCCAAGAATCAAAGTCCTCAACTATATAGTTGTTAATGGTGAAAGGTTTGCCTATAAGTGTATCTTGGTTCTGCAGTTTAATATGGTTTAGATGTTCACGTGCTTGATCACTGAGTTGGCAGACCTTGTCCAATGTATGAAGTGTTGCATTTATTTGAAAATTATACAGTAAATGATACATTATTTGGTTGTATGACAAGGATTGTCTTATGTTGAAAGTTGTGTTTTTTCCTCGTATATGTGTTGTGCTTTTGATATGTGGACAACTGACACAATTGTTTCGTTGACATGTTTTTGTCATGTCTGTAAGAAATGATGGATGGGTCCTTGAAACATACTTAGTGGTAGTGTCTTCAGTAAGTATTGTGTCATTCTTTTTGTTGGTCTGATGGTATTTCAACATAAGTGGAATATGATCTTCCTTGGTAGGGTTGATTGTTTGTTCCTGAGTATATGGACAAGCTTTGGTGGCTGTATCGTGGATGAGAAAATCAGGGCATAGAAATGAAAGTTTTCATATCTTTGGATTTTGATTTATAATCATTATCATCACTACATAGTTTGCGTAGTCGTAGAAAATACAGAAAGTGATGGTTTCTATGTAAAAATCCTTACCAAAGCCACCAAGGTACACTGACGGAAAATGTAAATAATCTCTTCTCATCGAACAACTACGAACACGGATGAATAGGAACAAAGGATGACATCGATAATTATAATTATTTTATTTTTGCATCTTATCTTTTGTTATTTCAATCTGTAACTTGGATATAAATTTTGTATACTACAGGTAGCCGTTAATTATTACAATACAATTCTTTCAATAATAAGTTGTACTACTTAATATGTCAACAGCACGCTGTAGAAATGCACGCTATAGATTTGATTATAATTTTTGATCTAAACCAATTGAAGCTTTATATATGTGTGTGTGTTACGGATTTCTTTTTTCTCACCCACGGTAAAATTGCATAGTTGTCAACCTCTAATACCCACGAATGGATGATAAAATTAAAAATCCGGAGACTAGGGAGACCCTATAGTGGGAGGTTCAAGGGTGGCAAAGCTTCCCACCCAAAAACGAATTTCGCATTTATAGGACCTAAATAGAAAGCTTTGGTCGCGTTTCAGCATATTATTAAAACAGGGACGAAAGAAAGCTTGTCCACACAAAATACTTGTTTATTGACAGACTTGTACTTTTTTTCATAAAACAGTTATAATCATTTTAACAGAAAGTTAAAAATTCACACTACACCTGTACACTTACAGGTTCATTCAACATTTGAAGGTCACAAAAATTCTAAATGAATGCTAGTATGTCAAGTTTAAAAATAAAACATTTTCAAAGAATGTACTTGACCTACAAGAAATGTTTTCAAGAAATATTTTTTCCTTGCATTCAGAAGTAATCCAGTTTGGCTGAGTTGCCATTGAAATACTATGTTGGACCAGAAGATGTGCCATCTTCACTTCAGCACGTATTACTTGAAATTAAATCGTTTGTTTATAGTTTAAAACAAAGTACACAATCAGCTTACTATGCTCTGTCCACCACGGGTATTGAAACCCGGTTTCTAGTGTTGTAAGTCTTCAGACATACCGCTGTGACATAACTTTAGATTTACCCACATGACTAAAAACTAACTTGTGAAAACACACACTTAAACATGATATAATGAAAGTAATTTCTATCGGTTGATAAATTTATTAATAAGTTTTCAAAATATCTACTATTAATTTATGTAAAATACAACACTCATATACCTGAGTGCACTCTAGTGAAGTGTTAGAATTGGTATTACATTTAAATGTACCATGTCATAAGTAAATCTATATTTGCCTATGCTTCTTATATCTCATATTTTACTAGTATTGGGGAAAAAATTATCGCTAAATAAAAAAGCTATATAGGGCTGACTACTAAACTTGAAAAAGGAATCAAACAAGATAGCGATTGAAGTGGATCCACTTGATCCAGCTAATGGTCACATAGCAAACTAAGCCGTCTCGACTTTACATGAAGAATATAATCCATACATTACTATCTTCCATACTTTGTTTATCGAAAGATTAGTGTTTGAATAGAATCTCAGCTTTCATCATTATACCTTTCCTTTAGATAACTTTATAATACTACTTTTATGACTATTTTACAATAGATTAACACCTTACGATTGGAAATTCTGGTTCTATTTGTTTTGCCAGTGAGTAAACCAGTAATGTAGGGGTTTTACTCTCCATGTAAAGTCGGGTATGCTGTGTGATCAGTATCCGAATCAAGTGAAATTTCCAATTCCATCCTTATCCTGCTTGTTTCCCTTTTGCAACTTCATTAGCCATTTCTACATAGCTTTTTTATTAGCGATAATTTGTTTTCCTTATACTTGTTTGTTTACTTTTTCATAAGATGGTGTACTTGGATTACTAGGTTATAGAGTGTATTTTAACGCTTTATAAATTTTGCATAGATTAATAATATAATACGTAGTCTAAGATCGTGAAGACTGTTTTGCTCTATCAAATGATGATAAAATTATAGTTAATAATGCTCGGAGACAGCTTGAATACCAATGTTACTTACAAAATAACATGCAATAACGTCCCAGAATTCTACATCGGAGAAACAGGAAGAAAATTGGAAACCAGATTCACAAAACACAATAAAAAACCGCCCCAAATTATCCACCATTGCAACTCAAAAAGCCATAGCAAATCTATTGAAAACACAGTCATTCTAAACAGAGAACCACTGGGAAGTTCAATAAAATTACACAAACAAAGTAAATAATGCTTAAGTTATTATCTAAAAATTAGTTAGTGAAATGTAACAAAGGGGCCGTCCATTATATCCGTTTATTGTTAGTTTATAGTTTTCTATAACAAGAGATTCCTTATTTTTTTTATCTAAGAAATTGTCGACTCTTGTGAGAATTTTACACGTAACTGGGCAATTCCGTCTCTGGTATACCATAATTCAAGATACAGTTTCAGTCATTGCACTTTCTCCACGTCTACCTTTTTT